CTAAAGCAAACACCGAGCATGTACAGATTGCATCTTAAACGCGCTCGAGTCACAGGCACAAATGCGATGGAGCTTGCCTCTGGCGCCCCCACCAGCTGCTGCTTGCCCGGTGGCCGTGGCGGGCTTCCGCGCGGTGGAGCCTGGGCTTAGGCCCCGAGGCAAGCCTTGTGCCCCGCTGGCCCAGAGCTAACACGTCTCAGTTAGAACTACACCATCCTTGTCCAACCGATGCAGCGCCTTTTTAAACCAGTGGTCTGACAGGCAAAAGTTCAACAGGTGAATCTTGTTTCTTGTGGAAAGCAAAGGGACCTGCTGGCTGGGGATGATAAGAGTTGTAGTCCAACATGTCTGGAAGGCTCCAGAGTGGGGGAAGCTGCCTTAAATAGTGCAAGGGGCAGAACCTTTTCTCCTTTCGGGGAACGGGGGGTCACCTCTTGAACTTCTGCCTGTCAGGCCTTTGTTAAAGAAGACACCACATTTGCACCTTCTGGATAAGGATCCCGTACCTTCTTTGTACTATTTCTATAGTGCTCAATATTTTTAAAATCCCTAAGCAGTTTACATGTAAATTTAAAAATAATATTTAAAGTACAATTTAAAAATATTGAAATACACCACAATTACACTAATAATATAGAACAATACAGGCACAGTAGAACAAAACATGGTTAATTTAATGCTTGTTTTTTAAAACTGCTACTATTGTTTTTAGATTTTTTTACCCTGATGCTAGTTTTTAACTTTGGTTTTATATGGTAGTTTTATAATTACATTATTATTCCAATTATTAAATTGTATTTGCAGCCTGCCTTTCTTCCTCTTGCAAGGAACCTAAGGCAGTTTCCATACTTCTCCACTTCATTTTTATCCTCACAATAACAACCCCATGAAATAGGTTAGACTGAGAGTCCATGACTGGACTCAGAGAACTTCACAGCCAAATGGAGACCAGGTCCTCGGTTCCCAGTCTGACACTCTCACCACCCAGTTGGCTCTCTTCAACATCTTAAAAGTTTCTATTGTGTTTTAGTGTGTTCATGTCATGTCAACTCAGAGAGCTTTAGATATCAGGCAAAAAAGACCAATGAATACCTCTTTTCCCAACAGTGGTCAACTAGATACTTCTGGAAGGTCACCAGCAGTGCATAAGAATGGAGGAAGAGGCCTGCTGGGCCGGACTAAAGGCCTGCCTTTCTAGTCCAGCAACCTGTTTCCTCCTTGCTGCCTCCTGGAAGCCACAAACCAGGCATGAGTCAAGTACTCCCTCTTGTTCACATTCCCCATCAGCTTTATTTAGTTATTGCAGTAGTTGCCTGAATTGCTCCTCCACTCAAGGAGGGCTCAAGGCGATGTACAATATAAAAAGACAAAACCCTAATATTGTATCCCTAATATTTAAAACTGGGGATTCATGCGAAAAACAGAGGAGCATTAACTCTCCGAGGCTCAGTGGAATGATACCCTATTCACTGGCCTTCTATAGTGGAAGGAAGCAGAAACAGGTCTTCAGGCAACTGGAACTTCAGCAACCAGAATCCCCGTGTGCCTGGCTAAAGGTTAGGAATGCAAGGAATTAAAGCCCCAAATGACTGGAGATCTGCTTTCTGTCCAGCCCGTGTCTAAAGACAGAGGCTAGCCTAACTCCCTTGGGCTGGGACTGTTCTACATGAAAGATGTGACAAAGAACCAGCACCTTCGCCCAGGAAGCTGAGCAGGTAACAAGACCTCAGATGATGAGTGGACAGTTTGGGCAGGCTTATATGGGAGGAGGCTCTTTTAAAAAGGGCGGGAGGAACCAGTGCAGCTGTTTCAAGACTGAGGTTTTCGGGTTTGTAAAACGGTTACCGAAGAAAAGCCTGGCTGCCCAGCTTTGCACTAGTTCAAGTTTCTGGGCGTTCTTCCTGCGTAGCCTCATGCAGCATAGATTAATGTCATCTAAAGAGGTGTGCTTGGAGTGCACTTTTATTCTTTTTGTGCCAGGTGAAGACCTTTTTATTTCCCGAGCATTTTAACAGTTCAACTTGTTAACTTTGTTATTATATACTACATTTTATTCTGTACTTTTTTTGTCCTCCCCATTTGGTATTTTTTTTAGACAAAGCCCGATAAATACAACACATCACAACAACAATAATAATACAACATAACAAAAACAAGGTAATAAAAGGTAAATGATAAAGTGCCCCCATCACCTCGGAGACCAATGCTACCACCTTTCACATGCTATAACAATAATTTATGTTGTTGTTAGTCGCGAAGTCGTGTCTGACCCATCGCGACCCCATGGACAACACTCCTCCAGGCCTTCCTGTCCTCCACCATCTCCCGGAGTCCACTCAAGCTCACTCCAACTGCTTCAATGACTCCATCCAGCCACCTCATCCTCTGCCGTCCCCTCCTTCTTTTGCCATCTATGTGCCCAGCATTAGGCTCTTCTCCAGGGAGTCCTTCCTTCTCATTAGGTGGCCAAAGTATTTGAGTTTCATCTTCAGTATCTGGTCTTCTAAAGAGCAGTCAGGGTTATAATATACTTCAATTATTTCCATATCCCCTCCTGAAGTTCATATAATCTTGACTGGGTTTACAGCCTTTGCCTTCTATCAGTACTGCTTTTACAAAATCTTCCCAGATTTCATTATATTTATTTGCTTCATTAATCCTCTTTTAATTTTTATTTCTGTCATCATTTTATCATTAATTACCATGTCCCATATTTCATTATACCATTTTATTCTGTACTGACGCTATGCTTCTATGCTGATTCAGTTACTATTGCAGTTTTCTTGTTTTAAATTAATCATGTTTGTGTGTGTATGTTTTAACTTTGGTTTAACTTTAACTTTTGTTAACTGCCCAGAAAGCCTTGGCCACTGAGTGGGGTAAGAATGAAATAAATATGAGATGACCCATGAATGTGAGGGGCTGATCACCTATTCTGAAAGACAGTCTTCTTCCCTGTGAACTTGCCCAGCTTTTGAGGTCTTTGTGAGTGTCCCTTCCCTCTGTCATAGGAAGGAGCTTTGTGGGATTCATGAGAGCTTTCAAAGCTGGGTTGGTTTCTTCTCTCTTCACCTTCTGCTGGCAGACTCTTCACCTGTCTGATGTTTTTATTCAGACAGGTTCTGGGCATATAAACTGGTTTGTTGCTGATTTTATAGGGTTGTAAAATGAAATTTAACCCTTTTTCATTGTATTACATTGCAATGCATTGTACTGTGTTTTTACAATCACATTTCATTTTTTTTTGCTGTGTTTCTAATGCATTGTTTCCAGTGATACACCTTAGTTAAGATTCGGTTTCAAGTGCCATGTTTAGATGGACCTGCGGTGGGAATTAATTAATTGGCTGGAGTGGGGCTCTGGGAGTAGCAGTGCTGGAAAATAAGGCAGTGGTGTGTCGGGAGAGGCAGGGCTTGCCTGGACAGAGGCTAAGCTTCCCACACGCTCGGTGTTTGACGTCAGCAACAACATCCAAATGATGGCAGGGCCGGCCCCAAACAGCTCAGGCAGAAGTGCTGTTCCTCGGCCCACACAAGAGGTCCGTCCTAAGTTCAATCCGGTTATGCAAATCAGGTGTAAGATAAAGTTTCAAGATCCTCTTTTGCCCGGGGAAGAGAGCAATATAAGTATAAATGTTCACAGGAGCTGAAATTGGGGAGGGATCTTACGTTTTCACACAGAACAAGCTGTAGGAGTGTTGTGCCGTTCTGCTGTACTGGGGTGGTCACTCCAGTTTAACTGGTTTCTCAGGTTTGGAAATGCTTGGGACTCTCTTCTGGGAAACCCCAGACTCTCCAAGGAGCACAGCTGCTGGTACCGGCACTTCCAGAGTTGTATCTTGGTGGGATTCACTCATGGCAAGGAATACGCTTTCTACACACTTACCTATGGTTATTATTGCCTTACATTTATACTCGAACCGCCTTCCTCTGGCAGGGATGCCAAGGCTGTGTACAAGATTCTGCTTCTCTCCATTTTATCTTCACAACAGCCCTGTGAGGGAGGTTAAGCCGAGAGTCTGTGACTGGCCCAAAGGTACCCAGAGAGCTCCATGGTTGAGTGGGGAGTAGAACCCAGATCTCCTGAGTCCTAGTCAAAGACTCTAACCACTGTGCAACACTGGCTGTCATATAGCTTGTGGAGGAGTTTGGGAACTGTGCTTAAGGGTTAGGGTGGAGCAAAGTGGAGCCTTCCTTGAGTTCTGCATAGGGTTCTTCTCTCCAATAGAAGAAGAACTTAGTTGTTGTTGTTGTTAGTCGCGAAGTCGTGTCCGACCCATCGTGACCCCATGGACAACACTCCTCCAGGCCTTCCTGTCCTCCAGCATCTCCCCGAGTCCACTCAAGCTCACTTCAACTGCTTCAGTGACTCCATCCAGCCACCTCATCCTCTGCCGTCCCCTTCTTCTTTTGCCATCTACTGTTCCCAGCATTAGACTCTTCTCCAGGGAGTCCTTCCTTCTCATTAGGTGGCCAAAATATTTGAGTTTCATCTTCACTATCTGGCCTTCTAAAGAGCAGTCAGAGTTGATCTCCTCTAGGACTGACCGGTTTGATCGCCTTGTGGTCCAAGGGACTCGCAGGAGTCTCCTCCAGCACCACAATTCAAAGGCCTCAATCCTTTTGCGCTCAGCCTTCCTTATGGTCCAGCTTTCACAGCCATACATTGCAACTGGGAAAACCATAGCTTTGACTATACGCACTTTTGTTGGCAGGGTGATGTCTCTGCTTTTTAGTATGCTGTCTAGATT